GAGGCAGGGTCTCGCTTTGTAGTACAGGGTGGCCCTGAACTCACTCTGTAGCCCAGGCTGGCCTCAAACCTGAGATCTGTGTGCCTCAGCCTCCCAAGTGCTGAGATTACAAGTATGCGCCACCATGTCTGGTTTTAGCATTATTTGTTTACTGGGGACATTATTTGTTTACATGGGATTCATTTGAATCCCATGAATAAACAGATCACAAGCCAATTTCTAGCTCCTTCTACATTTTTAAAGTGTGTATTAATCTTTTTTTTTTTTTTTGAGACAGGGTCTTGCTTTGTACTCCAGGCTGGCCTCCAACTCACTATGTAGCCCAGGATGGCCTTGAACTTGTGGTGATTCTTCTGCCTCAACTTCTCAAGTGCTGGGATCACAGGTGTGCACCACCACGCCCGGCCAAGTGTGTTTTAATTTTGACTTCTACACAAACTTTGTAGGAAGGCCGGCAGCAGAAGATTCTCATCTTGTTATTTACGTGGCCAAGACTCCAAGGCAAATGGCTGTCCTAAAATCACACCCTGTGAGATGAAACCCTACCAGCCTGGCAGGCGCCGGCATCGTCGCAGGTCTCCTCTTCACTCTACCTGTACCAGGGCTGGAGAGAGCTCGAGCCTTGTGTCTTCCTGGCCATGGGCTTCACTCTTGAGCGAGGACGAAGTCTGGTGTCATTGCAAACATTCACAAGCAGGGCAGGGATTTAAGAAGCAAACAGAATTCAAGCTGAGGGTGGAGAAACTGAGGCCCTCTTGCTGTCCATTGCTAAGCTGCTGAGACTTCTAATCCTCCTGGCTATTCCACTGGTCTGGTTCAGTTGGAGTCCACAGTGATTCTCTCTCTGGGTGAGAAGCCAATTCACAGGATGGAAAGTGGAGGCTAGAGAGCAGCTCTGGAACACTGTACCCTTAAAGATGCTGCATGCCAGAGCCCCAAGTGTCAGGCTGTGGGCTGCAAGCCCTGACTTGAACTTTTCAGAGCCTGGGGGTTTAAGCTTTCAAGAGACACAGCCGAGGGATCAGCAGCAAAGGGGCTCCGGTCATGTAGGGTCGTAAATGAAGCTGCAGTAGAGCTTGTAAGAGGGGAAGCAGAGATGCAGAAAGAAGGAAAGGAAGAAATGAATAAAACAAAGGACGGAGGGGCTAGGAAAAAAGACAGACAGCTGGAAATGCATGACTTTTCAACTTCCTGATGGAAAGGTTCCAAGAGAGACAGAAATCTTTTGAACCATGTAAGAGGACCTATCTTTGGCCACAGGTGGGTGCATACAATATCGTATTGCATTTGATTTCTATTCACCTGTTGCCATATTATATGCAGTTGTCCATCTGTACAGGATGCTTTTTAAAGCAGGTGGGACCTGTAATCCCAGAACTTGGGAGGCTGAGGCAGGAGGATCGCCAGCCAGCCTGGGGTACTTAGCGAGGCCCTGTCTTTAAATAAATAAATACATAAATAGCATGTGGGATGAACCTACTTGGCTTTTGGGAAGAACACGAGATGGATGGATGGGCAATGTCCTGTCCACTCCTCACATTTCCAACTGCCATTCCAACAGTCATTGGAAATTACAGAACAGAGTTAGGACTAGGATCTTATGGTATCGGTTTCCTACAGATCGCGCTCCAATTTTTTTGTGTCTCTAGCTTTGGAAACTCCTTCATCATATCCCACAGGTTGGACTAGTATTGGTGGAATTAGTTATAATTTCCACCCTTGAAAGTGACATTGAAGGTAAGGCCATCGATTCTAAGTCAGGAACAGTGATGCTTTGTTTGGAGCTGACATGGTGGATTTTATAATGGTCTCCCACTCTGGAATTTCTCCCCATTTCAGTGTTCGCAGCCTGGTAGTTCCCCCCCTGCCCGCTGCAGCCTGAATATTCTGGTTCCCTAATCCAACCCCTTTAGGAGTTCTCTTTGGTTTGAAAAACCTTTTCATTTGTTTTGGTTTTTTGACACAAGGTCTCATTATGTAGCCCAGGCTGGCCTTGAACTCACTGCAATCCTCCTGCCTCAGCCTCCCTAGTGCTAGGATTCCAGGTGTGTGCCACCATGCCCAACTAAAGGCCTCTTCTAATGGCTTACATTTTCTCCATATATCCTTTAACCCTTTACTATTCCAGCTATGAAGTCCATTCTGATGTTAAGAAAATGGTAGACTTAGTGGGGCTTGGTGGTACACACCTGTGATCCCAGGGTTCTGAAGACACAAGGAAATAGTTCAATATCATCAGTGATTTCATGACTTAGGATAAGTTTAAATTCCCTACCTTGAAAGGTGTGTGGGGGGGGTGTAGGAAAGAAAGGACAAGAAAAAAAGGGAATAGAAGGAAAAAAATAGAAACAAAGCTTTTCTAAATAAGGAGGGGAACAGTGGTTGAAGGGAGGGGAAGGGAACGCAAAAAAAGAAGCAGCAAGATATATCATACACAGGTACAAATTCCTTATGATGAATGTTACATTATGTATATCTAAAATGTACCAGGGGCCGGGGATTTAGCTCAGTGGTGCCGCCGCCTGCCTTGCAAACAGAAGGTCCTGAGTTCGATCCCTGGTACCAAAACAAAAGTACCAATAAATGTTTTGGTTCAAAAGAATTCCCTGCCTCAGTTTACCAATCTGTGAAGCAGAAATGTGTACAATGTGTCCTTATCCCAAAGAAAAGTTATTTCACTTGGAGGTTAAGAATTTCTTTAAAAAGTCCCCCTTCCCTGCATCAGGGTTTGAATCCCAGGCCTTCAAACTGAGTTTCATCCTCAATCCTTTTTTATTTTTTGCAGTACTGGGGATCGAACTCAGGACCATGGCTGCCACTGAGCTAAATTCCTACCCCCATCCTCAAACCTTTTTTTTTTGGTACCAGGGATCGAACTTGGGTCCTTGTGCTTGCGTAGCAGGCGGAGAAACCACTGAGCTAAATCCCTGGCCCCTCAAACCTTTTTTAAAAATTAAAAAAATTTTGTGCTCTGGTACACACCTGTCATCCCAGCACTCAGGAGGCTGAGGCAGGAGGATTGCCATGAGTTTGAGGCCAGCCTGGACTACACAGTGAGTACAAGGCCAGCCTGAACTGAACTACATAGTGAGACCCTGTCTCAAAAAAAGTTTTTTTTTTGAGGGGGAGACAGGGTCTCATTAAGTTGCTAAATTGCCCAGGCTGGGCTCCAACTGGCAATCCTCCTGCCTCAGCCTCCCCCAGTGCTTGGATGACAGGTGTGTGCCTGTATAGAGCAGTCATATTTGGAGAAATATACGCTACCTTCCACGCCCTCTATCCCATGTTGTAGGTAGTAAGTAGGTCAGGATTCAGGAGACCCAGGGATGGGGCCAAGTCACGTCCTTCCCCTTTCCCTTGGCAGGGTCACAATCACTGCTGACACGAAGTCCATGGCCCGGTGCTGTTTTTAATCTTACCTGTAATTTTACAAAAGAAAGTTGAGCTTAAAGTTCACATGGTTTCTCAGCAGGATACACATCTTGTTCATAAGGGAAGGTTACAGACTGGATAAGTATTCTCTTGATCATTGATTAGTGGGCTCCATAATAATTGAGGTGTACACTGTTTGGGATCCAATATTGAGAGTAGGAAAAGAATTAGAAACCAAGCTCTTGAAAAATGGGGATGTAATTCAGTGGGTTCAATCCCTAGCTCTGCAAAACAACAAAATAAACAAGAAAGAAAGTACATCTTGTCTATCACGTACGTATGTTGTAATTACAAAACAAAAGAACAAGAAAGTCAGCAAAAACCAATACTCTCAGCAGATGGGAAAGCAGGTAGAGCTAGGTGGAGCTGGCAATGAGGACTTCACGGCAAAGATGAGTTTATGGGAAGGGAGGGACTTGGGGCTGCTGGAAACGATGAGGAGGTCTTTCCGGCAATACCAGGAGCAAGGGCAACCGGAATAGCTAACAGTATCGGGGCCTAGTGGCAAAGGCCTGTAATCCCAGCACTCGGGAGGCTGAGGCAGAAGGATTGCCACCAGTTCGAGGTTAGTTTGGGCTGCATAGCAAGCCCCTTAAGTCTCATCAAAAGAAAACAAATCAAATCAAACAAACACTGGGGTAAAGGTGAAAAAACAATTTATTTTCGGTATTGGGGAATGAACCCAGGGCCTTTGTATTGAGCTACATACCTAGGCTTTTTAATTTTTTGAGAGAGGATCTTGCTAAATTGCCCTGGTTGGCTCCTACTTGCTATCCTCCTGCCTCAGTCTCCTAGAGTGCTGGAAGTATAGGCCCTGTCACCCCACTTGACTGACTTTATTTTAAACATTAGATCACGAGGGTTTCTGTTTATTTTTTGTTGTTGTTGTTTTGTTGTTGTTGTTTTGGTACCGGGGATCGAACTCCGGACCTTGCACTTGTGAGGCAGGCGCTGGAACCACTGAACTAAATCCCCGGCCCCATTTTTGTTTTTTGATACGGTCTCACTATGTAGTCCAAGCTAGTCTTGAACTCAGTATGTAGCCCAGGCTGCCCTTGAACTTGTAGCGCTCCTCCTGCCTCAGCCTCCTGAGTGCTGGGATTACAGGCATGCGCCACCACGCCTAGCTATAAATATTCAATCATGAAAATAAAAATATTTCTAATTTTTGAAATCACTCTTTCAAAGGCCCAAATCTCATTGGTTGACGTAACCTGGATCATTAAAAGGTTTTTCGGGTTTTTACTATTTTTCAAAACATCCCTAGAATTTAAAAGAAAAAAATAAGAAGCAGGACCCGGATGAAAGGACGACGAGGCGGAAGCAGCTCGGGGTGTGCGCTGCACGGCGGCCCCCACGGGTCTTCGGCCGCAGGGTCCTCTGCGACCCGCCGGCGCTCAGCGCGCCGCAGACAGGTGCAGCCTCCCGCGCCGGCCGCGCCCTCGCCGCCCCGCCCCCTGCCCTGCGCGCTCAGTTCCGCGGGGGCGCGCGCCCGTCCTCGGGCCCGAGCACGCAGCCACCGCCTCCCTCCCCACCGCCCCGCCTTCCCGGCGGCCTCCGCCCGCTCCCCTCCGCCCCCTTCCCCGTCGCCCGCCCGCAGCCCGCTCGTCTGTTCGCTCGCGCGGGTCTCTCCGCCCGCGCCCGGGGCTCTCGTCAGGCGCTCGCCCGCGCCGTGGATGTGGCTGGCCGTCACCCCCGCCGTCGCCCTCGCTCGCCGCCTGCGCGCCCTCGGCCCTCCGCCGACGCCTCCCCGCCGCCCGCTCCTCCTCAGCCTCTCCTCGCACGGCCGCCGCCTCCACAGCTCGGGCCGCGCCGCGATGCCGGAGAAGAGGCCCTTCGAGCGGCTGCCCGCCGACGTGTCCCCCGTCAACTACAGCCTCTGCCTCAAGCCTGACCTGCTGGACTTCACCTTCGAGGGCAAGCTGGAGGCCGCCGCCCAGGTAGGGCGCCGGGCCGCG